TTAGACCAAAGGAGAGAATTTATTTAAGTAAAAGTTTTACAGTATTTAGGTTTTTTATGTAGCATTCCTATCTTAAACCTTAGCCCTTTTATTTCCTTCACCAGCTAAAATGGCAGCTTTAAAGAAAGCCGAAATCGACTCTCTAGTCAAAAAGCGAGAAAAGTATTATGCAAGGTTACAAGCTCTCTATGACGTTGGTAAAAAGTGTATCCAGCTTGCTCAGCAAAAACAATCTTTTAATACAGAGTTTGATTCTTTTGTATCACGTTATCAAAGATTAGAGGATGATTATTCTGTGTTTGAACAAACAAGTGACAGTATTAGTTTGTTAGTTTGTTAAACTCTCAAGTAGATGAAGGAGATAGAGTAGAGGTTCATAGTGCATCAATGTCCTATGATGATTTGTATTTTAATGTTAAAACCCTTGGGAGAAAGTTGAATGTAGATAAGCATTTGCAGCAAACAAAGACTGACTTATCTGCTGATAAGCAATCTCCTGTCCATAGTCCCCAGGTAGCTCGCCTTCCTAAATTGGAAATTGAACCGTTTGATGGAACCTTATCAGCTTGGCCTAATTTTTATGCTTTATTCACTTCTATGATTCATAAAAAATCAATCCTTATCTAAAAGTGAAAAACTCACTTATCTACGCAGTCTTTTGAAATCACATGCGCTTTCACTCATTGAAACCTTGGTAATATGTGATGAGAATTATGATATTGCAATGAGAACTCTCGCTGATCGTTATCAGAATAAACGTCTCTTAGCATCAAATTATCTCGATAAGATTTTATCCTTCCACCCTCTCACTGAAGATTCTACTGTTACCTTATCAAACTTTTTGGAAATTTTTAGCGCAAATCTGTGCGCCCTAAAGGCTCTTGGATTGTCAAATTTATTTGATTTTACAATGTTACACATTGGTTTACGTTCACTAACATTGTCATCCCGCAAAGAATTTGAAAATGAATATTCTGATAAAGATCTACCAGAATTTGAGGATCTAATTTCGTTTGTACAGCAACAACTCAAAATCCTAGAAATTACTACATCCAAGGGAAAGCTAAAGCAAAATAAACAAAATACATCTCCTAAGCAAAGTAGTTCCAAAAGTTTCATGCTGTCAACTGTTGATGAAAAAGGTTTAACTGGAACTGCAAAGCGCCACGCATGTCCCTGTTGCCAAGAACCCAACCATAAGATCTATGTGTGTTCTAAGTTTAAAAAACTAAGTTTATCTGACAGAAATGATTTTGTTAAAAAGCATTTCTTGTGCTTTTCTTGTCTTGGTTTTCACACAATATCCAAGTGTAAATCAACCTCCAAATGTTTTAAATGCAATGGCAAGCATCACAGCCTTTTGCATCGTCCAGCTACTAATGCAACTGCAGACCCCTATCTCTCAAGAGAAAAGAGCTTAGAAACTAAACCCAATGACATGAAAGAAAAAAATAATCCTTCCTCATCCAAAACTTGTAATTTTGCTGATGCAAATTCCGCCTCAAACATGATGTTAAGCACATAGTCCAGGATCTGAAGGGGGTTAAGCATGCATGAAAAGGGTGACGCAATTTTATTTCTGATTGTTGTTATAGGCACTATAGTGATCACGAAAACGCATGTCGTCGCCCCCCAGCGTGGTCGACAACCCGGGGGGGGAGGGGGGCAATATGGCGGGGGGCGCCGTTTACTAAAACGCCTATAACTCGAGAACTATTCTAGGTAGAACATTGCAATAAACGTCAATTTACTCAAAAAATTATGGTCTTTAAAAATGTTAATGTAGTGAAATTCGTATCTTTGATGGTTTTTTAGTTATTTTATATTGAAGCTAAAAATCAATATGGGGTTATGGGGTTAAAATAGGTTTTTCCCATTTTTGACCCTAATAACCAAACAAATTGCAATTTATTTCTTAACCCATTTTGTAGAGCTTAAAAAAAGAAATAATTTAGTATAGCAAAGGGCTGTTGTATGCCTAACGGTTATGGATATAGTTAAAAAAACTTAAATTCAAAACGCCATGTTATTCTTACGGAGAATCAAAAAAACTGTTGTAGTTTGCTTATATATGGATATATTATAATCAAATTTGGCAATTTTGTTTATTTCATACTAAGCTATCAACATTTCAATATAAAACTCACCTCAATACCTTCCCTGTAGCAGCAAACCTAGGTACTCATTATAATTCATTTTATTTAAATAGGAAATAAAGCTGACAGTTTTCAGGGAATATTTGAGTATAAAATAATATTGAGTCTGCAGGTTTACTGCGGCAGGGGTACTTTTTAAAGCAACCGAAATTACAAGTACCAAGAGACACCTTTTAAGGATAAACATAGCTTTTATGTTTGTAGATCTATGAAAAAAAAGTGATGAAAAATCAGGAAAAAATTATAGGAAAAACTGTTCTTTACTTAAGGTCCGTGAAGTTGGCGTACCCATATTAGCGTATCCACTTTTGATCATACCAATCGTTAGTTCATCGTTAGTTCTCGATAGTTCCCAAATGTTTTCGTTAGTTCTCAAAAAATAAAAAAGTTATAGCCGATAATAAGTGGGTACGCTAACTTCACAATTGTACAATTTCCAGCGGGCACAGTTTTCTGACTAAAAACTCTTATATCTATATACCAATTTTTAGTTCTTCGTTATTTCTTGTTAGTTCCCCAATATTATTGCTTGTTCTTAAAAATTAAAAAGCCAATAAGGTCTTAAACGTGGTTATGCCAACCTCACACCCAAATCATTCCTAGCGTGCACCCTTGTCTGACTAAAAGTGCCGATATCTTAATATTAATCGTAAGTACTTAATAGCTCACCGATTTATTTTGTTGGTTCTAAAAAAATTTAAAAATTGCACCTGATGAGTTGAAGCTGAATAAGGACGCTAATTTCACACCTACAGAAATTCTAGCGTGCAACTGCATCTGACGAAAAAATTCTTTTTATTATTATTTTTTATTAGCTATGCTGTTATTGTTATGTTTTCCACTCGTTTTGTGCTTGCCGCTGTCATTTTTGCCATCTTTTTGCCGTTTCTCCTTTTCGTTTTCCTTATTAACTAATTCATTTACATTGTTTTCAGTAAACTATTGCATAACTTTCCTAACTAACTTTCTTTAATTTAACACTTCTGATTTCCAGCGCGCACCTTCATTCGACAAAAAATGCTTACAGTATACTACTATACAAAATAAATAGATTAGAGTCATTTTCAACTGTTAAGCCGTGTCAAGCGCCAATTCAAGTTCTTCCGTCAACAAAATAAGCTGTCTCCAGACATGCGCCACTCCCAAAACACGACATATTTGCCGTTCGACGATCTAACGAGTAAAACATCTACACACATGTGTTGTTTTCCCAAAAACTGTTCGTTTCGGGAATTGCAAAGATATTCGTTTACTTTGATGTGTGCAAAAATACCGGCAATGAACGGAAAACACGAAGACGAGCATTTGCTGCCATTTGCTACTTGCGAGCGTAGGTACAGTCTGGAGCCGGCTATAGGCATGGAACTTGAATAAAACCCCCTTTTTGCAAATCATTAAACTAAATTTTAATTAATTATTTTATTATAAAAAATTTATCATAAGATAAAAATATTTATTCTCGGTATATATTAATAATCTAACACATTTAATTTTAAACGTATTTCTAAACTGTTTAAGAACGATGCTATGAATGTTTGAAAGAATAGTTGAGTGTACATTTTTAAGAACTATCCAGAGCTAACGAAGAACTAACGATTGGTATATAGATATAGGCATTTATAGTCAAAAAACTGTGCCCGCTGGAAATTGTACAATTGTGAAGTTAGCGTACCCACTTTGTATGCCTCGTAACTTTTTTTATTTTTTGAGAACTAACGAAAAAATTTGGGAACTGTCGAGGACTAACGAAGAACTAACGATTGATATATAGATGTAAACATTTCTCATCAGAAAACGGCGCGCGCTAGAACCCGGAAGTGTGAAGTTAGCGTACCCACTTATTATCGGCTATAACTTTTTTATTTTTTGAGAACTAACGAAAACATTTGGGAACTATCGAGAACTAACGATGAACTAACGATTGGTATGATCAAAAGTGGATACGCTAATATGGGTACGCCAACTTCACGGACCTTAAGTAAAGAACAGTTTTTCCTATAATTTTTTCCTGATTTTTCATCATTTTTTTTTCATAGATCTACAAACATAAAAGCTATGTTTATCCTTAAAAGGTGTCTCTTGGTACTTGTAATTTCGGTTGCTTTAAAAAGTACCCCTGCCGCAGTAAACCTGCAGACTCAATATTATTTTATACTCAAATATTCCCTGAAAACTGTCAGCTTTATTTCCTATTTAAATAAAATGAATTATAATGAGTACCTAGGTTTGCTGCTACAGGGAAGGTATTGAGGTGAGTTTTATATTGAAATGTTGATAGCTTAGTATGAAATAAACAAAATTGCCAAATTTGATTATAATATATCCATATATAAGCAAACTACAACAGTTTTTTTGATTCTCCGTAAGAATAACATGGCGTTTTGAATTTAAGTTTTTTTAACTATATCCATAACCGTTAGGCATACAACAGCCCTTTGCTATACTAAATTATTTCTTTTTTTAAGCTCTACAAAATGGGTTAAGAAATAAATTGCAATTTGTTTGGTTATTAGGGTCAAAAATGGGAAAAACCTATTTTAACCCCATAACCCCATATTGATTTTTAGCTTCAATATAAAATAACTAAAAAAAACATCAAAGATACGAATTTCACTACATTAACATTTTTAAAGACCATAATTTCTTGAGTAAATTGACGTTTATTGCAATGTTCTACCTAGAATAGTTCTCGAGTTATAGGCGTTTTAGTAAACGGCGCCCCCCGCCATATTGCCCCCCTCCCCCCACGGGTTGTCGACCACGCTGGGGGGCGACGACATGCGTTTTCGTGATCACTATAGTGCCTATAACAACAATCAGAAATAAAATTGCGTCACCCATTTCATGCATGCTCAACCCCCTTCAGATCCTGGACTAACAGCCATTATCGGCATAAGGGATAAAAATAACAAACTGACACCAGTCCGAGCCATTATTGATGGTGGTTCCCAAACTAGCTTAATTACTCAAGAATGTGTTCTCAAGTTAGGTCTCACCAAACATCAAAATAAAATAACCATCATAGGTATTGCAGACACCCAGGTCCCAGTGAACAAAGGTTCAGTAACATGTAACATAAGTCCTCTTAAGAACTCAAATATTTCTTTGAGTACTGAAGCAGTTGTAGTCCCAAAGATATCATCCGATCAGCCAAACATTGATATTGACCCTACAATCACCTCAAGATTTGATAATCTACAGCTCGCTGACCCCTTGTTCTATGAAAGCTCGCCTGTTGAATTTCTAATAGGAGCAGATTTGTATTTCGATATAATAAAAGAGTCGCATAATATCATAAAAGGTGAACCCTCTGCAATGAACACTATTTTTGGATGGATAGTTGGTGGTAGAGTGGCCACTTCCTCCTGTCAAAGTGAATGTTCTTATTTTTTAAACTGTTGTGAATCAGTTGATAAGACTCTCAAAAGGTTCTGGGAGGTAGAAGCGGTTCAAAATGTGAAGTATCCTAGTCCAGATGATATTGCAGTTGAATCACATTTCACAAAAACACATATCAGAGATAAAACAGGCCGCTATGTCGTATCGTTACCAATGAAACCTGATGCACCCAACCTACCGAACACAAGAGATAAGGCAGAGAAGCGACTTATCAGCCTAGAGAACAGATTAAAAAGCAAACCAGAAACCTATCTGGAGTATAGAGAGTTTATGGATGATTACCTAGCTCAAGGTCATATGAGTATCACCAGCATCCCCTCACCTTATGTAATTCCCCACCATTGTGTAAAAAATGAGAACAGTAGTACAACAAAGTTGAGAACAGTGTTTAATGCGTCTTTTAAGCCCTATGCAAATTCCTCTTCCCTCAATGATATCCTGTATAGTGGACCAAAGCTGCAAAGAGACATAGGAGAGATAATAATTAATTTTCGCCTACATGAAATTGTTGTGTGTGCCGATATAAAACAAATGTATAGGCAAATCGTTGTGAATCCCACAGACCGAGCATTTCAGCACATATTCTACCGCACAAATCCAAATGGAGATATAGATGAGTACGAGCTGAACATATTGACATATGGTGTAACATCTAGTGCTTATTTGGCACAAAGAGTATTACTGCAACTGGTTGAAGATGAAGGCAAAAGATACCCACTCGCCTCTCAAGCTATCACTCATCAAACGTTTGTGGATGATATTTGTACCAGTGTTGATTCTCCTCAAGAAGCACTTCAGTTACAGCAGGAACTAATTACACTTCTGAGATTGGGAGGATTTACCCTAAGAAAATGGGCCAGTAATTGCCAGCAAATATTAGACAGCGTCCCGCTTGATTGTCGAGAAAATCCCCTCGCCCTACGCTCCGAAGATGACTTTGCTGTTAAAGTACTTGGATTACAGTTTGATCCCGCTGAAGATGTATTTTTCTATGTAATTAAACTGAACCCTGTAGTTTGTACCAAGCGCTCAATGCTTTCTGAGATTGCTAAAATTTATGATATTTTAGGATGGATAACCCCCACTACATTTTACGCCAAACATATCATGCAGAGCACATGGTTAAATGGACTAGAGTGGGATGACCCCTTACCAGATGAACTTCGCAGTAAATGGACAGCATTTATTTAAACCCTTTCAAGTCTTTCAACCCTAAAGATACCTAGATTCATCCCTACAACTCCTCACAGCACAAATCAGATAATAGGATTCTGTGACGCATCTGAAAAGGGCTATGCAGCAAATATCTATATTCGAACCGAAACCTTTGATAACATATCAGTACATCTTATCAAAGCGAAAAGTAAAGTCGCCCCACTCAAATCAATGAGCATTCCTAGATTAGAGCTTTCTGCTGCTCAACTACTAACAGAAGTTGTATTATCTTGTACACATCTAACCCAGACTGTTGACCCCCAGAATATCATATTGTTTTCTGACTCAGCCGTTGTTCTTATGTGGTTAAAAACTCCTCCTTACAAGTTAAAAACATTTGTCGCAAACAGGGTTGTAAATATACTTGAGTCAACTAATCCAAAACAGTGGCACCATGTATCATCTAAAGAAAATCCTTGCGATTGCGCATCCCGCGGCTTGACACCTGAAGAGCTTGTAAATTTTGACTTGTGGTGGAAAGGACCTCAATTTCTGTACACTCCCTTTGATTCGTGGTCATTACACCGTTCATCTGAAGAAGAAGTAGAGAAGTTGCCAGAGATTAGAAAAGAATGTTTATTTACAACAGTTGATAACCAAAACAGCATTGTATTAGAAATGCTTGAAAAATATTCTAGCCTGAGTAAAGCTAAATTTGTAATTTCTTATGTATCAAGGTAATGTAGGTTATGTAAGGTATGTAAGGTTCATGAATAACGTCAAAAGTAACTCCAAAGGTATAGCTAAGAAACCAGGACCAATATCACCTCAGGAATTGGAACACACATTATCTCTCTGTGTAAAGACTACACAACAACGCTATCTCTCAAAAGATATTTCTGATATGAAAAATAATAAACCATGCTCTAAGAAATATCGCTCTTTGGCTTTATTCATTGATGAAAATGATTTCGTCAGGGTGGGCGGTCGTTTGAAAAACGCTAACTTAACTTACTCCAGGAAACACCCCTTTCTGATACCCCGTTCATCACGCCTTGCGACACTCATTTGTGATTATTATCACTCATTAGCTTTACACTCAGGACCCCGCTTGACACAGTCTCTCATTCAAGAAAAGTTTTGGATTGTAGGAGTACGGCAGTTATTGAGGGAGCGTATATTTAAATGCCAAAGATGCTATATGTTCCAAGCAAAACCTTTAATGCCTAAAATGGCGGATCTACCATCACTCAGATTTGAAAGCACACGTGCGTTTCTAAATGTTGGACTAGACTACGCTGGACCGTTTGAATTTAAAGAAAGTAATAGAAGAAAATCCCCCCGCCAAAAGGGATATATTGTAATTTTTGTTTGTTTTTCGACAAAAGCTGTACACATTGAGTTTGCAACGAGTTTATCAACACCTTCATTCCTTGCTGCATTGGATCGTTTTGTTGCCAGAAGAGGTCTCTGCCAATCAATAACAAGTGACTGCGGAACCAATTTCCAAGGAGCCGCGAACTATTTTTCTCACATTCAGAAATTTCTAAAAGACAATAATCAAGACATAGCACATCACCTAGCTTCAAAAGAAATTAAATGGAATTTCATCCCCCCGGCAGCACCCCATTTTGGAGGCCTTTGGGAGGCTGCAGTCAAATCAGCAAAACGTCACCTCATCCGAGCTATCGGTACCCTGATATTAACATATGAAGAAATGTACACCTTACTGACAAGAATTGAAGCCATTCTAAATAGTCGCCCAATAGGAGCAATGACCACTGATCCAAATGATGGAGACTACCTAAGCCCTGGACACTTCATTGTAGGAACGCCGTTGTTATCACCACCTGAAGAGGACTAAGACGAACTACATGTTAACTAAGATAAATGTGTAACTAAGATGAATCGTTTGGAAAGATATCAACTCCTACAACAAGCTGCACAATCGTTTTGGAAGCAATGGTCTCAAGACTACCTACAAACATTGATACCCAGGAATAAATGGACTACATCACAGCCAAATCTTCAAGTCGGAGATGTTATATACCTTCAAAACAAGGACAGCAGCCCTCTGGAATGGCCTATTGGAAGAGTGATTGAGACATACCCTGGACCAGATGCTACAGTTAGAGCCGCAAAGGTTAAGACACCTCACGGAACATATGTGAGACCTGTCCATAAGCTGGTACCCTTACCTCCTTCCGATACCCATTCCTAGCTTAACGTTTGAATATTAGGTTTTTACGATCAATTTTTATTGTGTGATTTGCCTCTTAGTGTACGATTTTGTAAATATGCATTTAGGTGGGCGGTATGTTTGGTTTTAGTTTAATATATTTGAATTTTCAACTAGTACCAGGATTTCCAAAGATAGCTTATCTTATCTGACCTACTTTTCCAGTCTGCACTGTCCACTCTTGCCTTAGTTAACCCAGAGTCAACATGTACTCCTTGCTCATTCTCTTGTATATAGTAGATTAGATTTTGACTGTTTTTAAGTAAACTAATGACGTTTAACATGTAATTATTAAAGTATGTGTTTTATAATATCTCCCACTTCTAAATGTCAGAGAGTGCCTTTTAATTTGTAAAAATACCAAAGTGCTGTGACGGGAAGACCTCTAAATGATTTTGTGACCTTCTACCTTCTACGGATTCTACGGCTACGCAGAATCCCCTCATCTACCCGCTCCTGGAGAAGATTCACCCATTCAAAGACTGTCCCCCCCTGGTGATCTTCGCTCCCCGCTTCAGTCTACCGTCAGGCATCTCTACCAAACCAAAGGACTCAAAGTAACTGTGTATATACTCATTTAATTAATTGGTATTACTCTGACATGTTCCCATATTTAAGATATATTTTGTAAATTAAAGTTTGAATTTCTCTTTCGCTACTCAGTAAAATTTTGTCATTCTCTCCTTTGAACCCGCCCCCAACACCCATATAGGGAATAAGCTATTACCGTAGTACTCGTGGTAAGACCTGGACGCGGGACCGATTTTTTTTTTTCGTTTTGAGGTTCCTAGAGGCCAAAAACACCATCCATTCAAATTCATATATATATATATATATATATACCTATAGATATGTGTCCGTTAGCACGATAACTCGAGCAAAAATGATCCGATTTTGATGAAATTTGGTATAAACGTGTAAACCTACATTTATTCGAACGAGTTCGCGAACCAGCATGATCGGACAATGGGAACAGGGGGTTTTATGGGATAAAAATCGGGTTTTCCCATTTTTGACCCAAAAAACATAATTTAGCAATTTCTTTCCAAACCATTTTGTAGAGCTTAAAAAACAAATAATTTAGTATATTGAAGCGTTATTATGCGCCTAATGGTTACGGAGAAAATATAAAAAAAATGTAAATTTAAAATTCCCATGTTATTCTTATGGAGAACAAGTAAACTGTTGTAGTTTGCTTGTTTATGAACATATTTTGATAAAATTTGGAAAATGTTTTTATTTCTTACTATTAACATTTTACAAAAAATAAAACAGTTTTACTCTCCCTGATGCAGCAAACCTAAGTACTTGTTAAACTAATTCTATTTAAATAGAAAATAAATGTTATAGGGTATTTTTAAGTAGACATTTTAGTGTAAATCCAATCAGGCAAATGGAAATTTGCTTAGTCTGCAGGTTTGCTGCGGTGGGGGTATTTTATCTTCACGGTGCTTATAATTATTGTTTTTATTGTGAAAGCCCTTGACTAAATAACTAACTTTCTAATGTTATTGACTTGACTCTATTCAACACATGTACTCTCTGTGTTTTATTGAATAAAGAATGATTTGATTTGATGATGCCCCTCAAGATTTATGTAGATCCTTGGTCCTGAATAATTAGGCGCACTTGAATCGCAAACTAAAATCTAGGTAGATACTCTAAAGCACGGGTCACACTAGGCTGCTTGCCAGCCGCTAGTGATCAGCGGCTGGCACAAGCACCACCAAGCAGCGGTTTTTCCACTGGTCACACTAGGCTGCTTGTCAGCCACTGGTGATCGCGATATTAACGATGTGTGAGAAGGAAAAGAACAGCTTTGAGGTGTTGTAACAAATCACTGTAAGCTGTTTATATGATGTTCTTACTTCTATAAAGAAACGTCCCACAAGCTTGTTTAGTTTTGGAATAAATTTAAGAAATCAATAACCTGCTTCCCCGACCACCTAAGCTCAGTAGTTTCTATGCTACAATACTACTTTAAAGTTTAAAGCTTAGTCCTTGTTGCCATTGTGTCCTTTTTTGGGTCATCATCCAGCACTTAATATTTAGGATGTGTGTGAAAGCTAGATATAATTTTATTAAAAGATGCTTAACCGCAAGAAGAGACGTTAGTGGATCAGGTCTTGGTAACAAATAATTTACGAATAAAAATACTTTTTAAAAATACCACGTTTTTAAACGCACTAAAAAAGAATATCATAAACATACCAAAATGTTTTACGAATGTCACCAGTCACCACATACATTCCAGGCATTACTAGAATTAAGTTAAGCCTCTAATTAAAAAAATTGAGACAATTGCTTTTGTCCTTACCAAGCTGGATATTACCACATTACCATTGACTTTATATCTAAACATATTACCTTTGGTCGCCGCTGGCACGCTTCTAGAGGTGGTCAGACTACGCTGCTCGCTGGTGTCAGCGAGTGCGAGTGGTCACGTGACCTCTAGTCGCCACTGCCTCGCTACCAAAAGTTGAACATGTCCAACTTCGCCAGCCGCTGACAAATACTCGCTGGCTAGCGATGCCAGCTGCGAATTTTGTGGTCACATCAAGCTGACAGTAGCGGCTTCTTTCAATTCGCCGCTGATCCCAGCCTAGTGTGACCCGTGCTTAACCACGCTCATAGTGGAGAGGTCACCCCCAGAATGCATGCTAACTACAAATCTCATAGTTGATTAAACAACTAAATTATTTATTGTATTTACACTGGTGAATTTCTGTAACTTGCACATATTTTATATTACAGTAAAACAAATTGAATTGTTCTTTGATAAGCTAATTTATCTTTC